TGCTCACTTCTTTTAGCATAAAAGACAAGAGTAGATTAATTTTCTTATATTGAATGTTAAGGAAAAAAATTTTAAAAACCCACATGACCAACACAGAATTTCCCAGGCTTTTATTTGCTATTTTTAAAGGGGAAAAAGTATTAAAAGTTATCAATGCTAGTACACCAATTTACTAAACGAGCACAAATGCTCAGAACACTAAAACAATGACAACAACACAAGAAAAAAAAAATAATCAAGTTCTTTCCTCGATTGGCTATTTTCTAAACATGCTTAAAAAAATTGCAGTTTTCCTGTGAAGCTCCTGGCTTTTCCTTTTCTTTTTTTCCCCCCCCTTGGATTTTTTATATTATTATTATTATTATTATTATTATTATTATTATTATTATTATTATTATTATTATTATTATTATTATTTAGATAATAGTACAGGAGGAAAATAAGGTAGAACTTACAGAATGAAAGTGCCAAGATTTCCTTATATTATTTTTTAAGCAAACAGAGCACAAAAGCAATTCTTTAACCATCTACTAACCTTGATTTGCATTGAAAAACAGGTAGAGCATAGTAGTTGAGGTTTGTGCTTCGTAAAAGCAAAAGAAATACATGGCAGTTGCAAAGCATTCTTAACCTCCAGTGATTTATTGGCCCTCAGCCAAGTTATCAGGGGAATCTAATTCTTCTTTATTATTCAAATAAACCACATTTGGCACCATGGTTCCTTTTCAGAATAGCTTCACAAATAGAATGAGTACTGTCATTTATTTGACCTTGTACTTGTGTGCTGTAGCTATAATTTTATTTGCCATTTCATAGAACAAATGCACGGAAAGCCAAAATAAGAAGATAGGTGATGCTACTAGTAACAGAGTACACATGTAATATACCTGTTGGTTTTGCCTGCCTTGTTTTAAAAAGGATAAATTATCCACAATTTATTCTTTTTTCTTCCTTCTTCATCTCTATTATCTATCTCCTATTATGCTAGCAGCTGCACTGTTCATTTTTAGTGAGTTCTCTTTTCAACAGGCCAATTTCCAAACCTGCTGCATGTCCTGGACAAGTAGGAAATCTTTTACTTTAAGGTGTGGACCTCACAGAGGGGAAGCAATACATACTGTCTTTATTGAGTACAACTGTTGGTGAGAGGTGACTATTTTCCTGAAAGCAAAAGCATCCTAGACAGATTATCAACCCATAATATTTTCTATATTTCAATAATATTTTTGACCTTGAAACATCCTATGTTTGATAATTTTTTCTTTCCAGATAAGAAATATTTTTTCTGTCTGTTTCTGGATAGATTTTACTCCCTATTTGTTACTATTTACATTTCAGCATATTTTTGGTCTAAGCCTCAAACACAGAGACTTTTCAAAAGAATTGAAATCTCTTAGGTAAGCACAGATAATGACTTCTAAGTGCTGGAAGGAGTAAATTGAATGCCTCTTCAATGTCCAGATATGATGACTCTTTTTATCCATTTTCTTTTGAAACCTCATTGCATTTCTAAAAGGAAATCAGGGCCTGAGTATTCCAAAGATGGTAGTTACCCTGATATCTAAAGTTAGCTACTGACTTGGAAAATGCTTGGGACTAGATATACATGAAGAACAAACATCACTACAGAGATGTACTGTGAAAAGCTGTTTGTATTGACAAAAGGGAAAGCTACACTATCACAGGTCATGTTGTCCAACCCAGGGAGAAATTGTGGTCATGTTGCACATTTCTAGACATGTCTGAGTCTTTCAACAAATACTAAAGTTCCTGAAAGAAGTATGTTGAATTATTTCAGCTTGCCTCAAGTATAACTGAACCATGACAATTTATACATACTGAGGGTATAACTGGGAGATTTTTGGTCCATTTCTGCTGCTTTGATTCTTTACATTACCTCACTCATTATTTTCAGCTAACTCTGTCTTTCCCTCTACTTTTTGTGTTCTCTGAAACTGCTTTTGTTGGAATTCCAGTGTGGTCTAAAATATATATCTGCCAAACTAAATTAAAATTTTTGGTTAGCATTAGCTGGAAGATAAAGCATTCAAAAATATATATTGATGGGTATCTACATGCAAGGTATATTCATTGTAACGTCAAAAATGTATTTATTGTAATTTTTGTTTACTGTGCAAATATACTGTTCCTTTTGCCAGAGGTAACTTTATTATCATCATTGCCAGGCTGCCTCCCAAGATATTGTTTTATCAGATTTCTTTACTATTAGTCCTGGAGCTATCTGAGAACATCAGCATCCATTTGTTTTGCACCACTGGCTCTAAATGATCAGAAAAGAGAAAAATTGGGTTCTGTGAAAAACTGTTTTCACCTGCTGAGATTCAGTAAAAGGACTGTTTTCCTTTAGCTAAGAGACATAAGATTTTGCTTCGCAAATGCAATGTATTGTACATTATTTCCATGCATACCAGTTAAAAAAACCCCCAAACAAATAAACGAATAAAAAACCTGAACTAAACAAGGATGAAGTCTTAGAGAAATCATTTGACTAGAAAGTAAGACTCCACAATCAGCATGATGAAGATGTTTCAAATAAAAACGCTTATAATACATATCCAGATTTTAAGTTGAAAACTGCCTAGAAGTTCTCTATGAATATGTAGTTTGGCAGTATAAGGATTAGGTCATTTCAACGTTTACCTGCAGTGCAAGAAATGTAATGCCACATGTATCACATATCACCAATCCAGAAATTCAGAATTCACAAGTATTTTAAGTTTTTGTAGTGCAAACAGTAGCATTTCCATGTATAGTCTGAGAAATGGTTCTATGAATATTCTTGTGATATTTTTTGTACCAAATAAGCTTTGACAACTGATTTAGTATTAAGTAGCTTCAGCATTTCTTTTGAAATTATTAAGAGACTAGCTATAAAATATTGTAGCAAAACATTAAAAATATAAGTACAGTAGATCTGAGAAGTATAAAAATGTCTTCACAAAGACATTTATATTTATACTCAGATATTTTAGTAGATTTCAGTCGATTTCATTTACTACTGTATAAAAATCCATAGTCCTTGTTCTGATTTTTGGTAGCTTTTCCACAAGTACTTTCAGTGGTGAACACATGGAAATGTTTATCCTGATATATCAAATACTCTAACATGCAAAGAAAATTAATTTATTTATCTGAACACCTTCCTGAAATATGTATGTGGATAAAGATTAAGTGTAAAGTCCTAACAACACCATGTGAGTTCAGAGTATGGAAAGATTTACCAGCTCCTACAATTAAAAAGACAGTGGCAGAAATGCTTTTAACAAGAGACTAGCATAGGGTTAAAGCCAAATTTTTCTTGAACAGATGATATTTCAGATGGCCGCACTATTCCAGATGCATCAATTTCCTTGAAAATCCAATCCATATATGTGCATATGCTGTGCTGGCAGGAGGACTGACTGAAATGGCCAAAACCCAAGAGCTAATATTCTTTTGGCCAGAATAATGCAATTATTATTTTCCTAGCTATCAGTCTAAGCATACAGAGCCATCTGTTATGCAAAGCAAACATACACATCTCAATTACAGAAAATGCAGTTGCCTTGACAGAATTTGGATTACACCACTAACCAGGGCTGTAAAATTTGTTTTAAGCTAGTGTATAATGGATGCCTTTCAGGAGTTTCCTAATTAGCATTTACCTGCTTAAACTAATTATCCATCCTTCTTCTTTACTGGTTTATTAAACTTCGTTGGATACTATGCATAAAACAGATTAATATGAACATAAGACAATAATAAACATTAAAGTTCCAATTCTTTACTGTATTATCAACATGGTGGTGCACTGATTTAAAAATGTGAGATTCTTCATACTAACTCCCAAGCAGATTAACTCAGGGATTAAAGTCTATTACAAAACAAGGGATTTTAATGAGAGACAAGAATACTGATGTGACTTAGAAACAGCTCTTGTTTCCATTTCTAGCATTGGGTTTGCCAAAGCCATCACAAAATAACAATTACTGAACTTTTTACAGCCAATTGCTTGCACGTTCTATGAGGAATTAATGAAACTCTATTCAGATTTTCACCAGATAATATTTAAAGTTAGTCTTTTTTTTTGGCACCAAATGTTAAAATTTCCTGTTTCATTTTTGGTGGGATACAACAAAACTGACAGTAGCTTGTGCTAATAGGTGCTTCCTCATAACAGTATGGGTCCCAATTTAAAGGAGTTGAAATAAACATTATTTCAGGTTTGTTTTTTTTTTCTCCTTAGGGTGACTGCAATAGAAGTAGATAATCCTACTCTGAAAATCATCATGCAAAATCTTTCTACTGCATTTTTAGGCGCAAGCAGAAAGAAGCTGTCCTGCCTAAACAGTTCTGAATGCTGCAGGATTAGGAATAAGCATTAACAACTGACTTTCTCCCAACTTCTGTCCTGCCTTTTAATCTTTGAAAAACATTAAATGAAAAAAAAAACAAAAAACCAACCAATCAACCAAACAAAAAACTATTATATTTTATAAATTCATCTCTTTGTATTACTGAGCATTTGTGAAAGCATCAAAATGTGTCCTTGTTGGAACCCTCCCTGCAAGACATTTTAATGGTCTCTTTCAGCATTTCTTGACTCCAAATGACTCCCTGTCATCGTGTCAGCTCCCTGGATAATGCAGGGTACTCCATAAACATCCAGTAATAGGACACAAGGGAAGTACTATTAGAGTGTCCCTTTCCTATCAGGTATAGAGGTTTAAAGTTCAAAACAACTGAGAAAAGAAACTTCATTTGTTCTCAATAAATTAATAATGATCCTTTGTGGCAAAAAGTTTTCAGACACATCTCAACATCCAATACTGATAGATAGATTTTTCAGTTGCGTCTCAGGATGAACAAGATGCAACTTTAAACAACTGATTCAATAATCCATGCAAATACAGAAGCAAAAATATTATTTCCTTAAGAATGATAGACAGAAGAATGCATAATACACAGTTAAGTTTCTAGAATTGAAAGCATGTACTTACTTGGGACAGGCCTAAATAGATGGAGACAGTTTCTGAAATGTACAAAAATTTTCCTTCTTGATTTAGTGCAAATACAAATCCATCCAGGGACTATAGAATAAGAGGGGAAAAAAAAAAGTGAATAGATTAATAAAAATCTCCAAATTACAGCTAGAAATAGATTCAAATAAAGACATCACAGAATAAATTGAGGAAAATGTTCCATTGTTATGAGAATGGTTTTAATTTGAACCCTCAGACAATTCCTTTATATTCTGCCTACATTTTAATAACCAGCATATGAGTATATACTAAGTTCAAGGACTTGTTGTCATGCTTACATATGGCATATACTGGATGAAATTTATCTCATTTGCTTGACAGAAGAAATACAGAAAAATAAAATGTTCTTTTTTTTTTTTTTTTTTTTTTTAAACAGGAAGCGATAAATAAGGAAAACAAATAACCTTCCAATTGAATGGCATATAAAAAGATACACTTTCCCCCACCCCCATCTTTCAGAATCAAAGCAGACAATTTCCACTTCCGAAAACTGAAAAGGAGAAAATAAAATCCTGCCATCACTCAAACCACTATGGACCTCAATAATTTGTAAATTAATTGAAGATTACACACACATGCACGCACGTGCATGCACACTACCCTCCCCCCCCCCAATTTTTCTTTTGTGAGACAACAAACAAAGCCAATCAGCAGATTACTGTCAAATATGTTTACAGCTTAGGTCTCTAGAAATGCTATGAATTTCATCCTTTCAATGTAAAACTCTAGATCAGATTTTATTTTGACAGGTTCAAGTCTTCGGATGTGGTTTCCATTGCAACTGCAAAAATCAAAATACAACTACAATGATCAATGCATACCTTTTTAAAATGAGTGCAGTTAATAAACAAAGAACTATATTCTAACCTGACACACAGAGTAAATTGCTGCACATCGAGATAGAAATACGCCTCTACAAATAAGAGCAAAGCATCAGTAGGAAGAAACTGCCTTTCATACCCTATTCTTGTCTTTACCTTTTTGCCTTTAGTGGGAGTGATTACTGGCAAACACTCACTACTGCAAAGTAAAATCATAAAATTCCAGAAATTAGAAATGTTAAAACAAGTCAGAAAATATGAAACAGCCCAAAAGTTAGGAGGAACAATGAACAATCCCAAAAATACCATCCCAAATATTTCCTTGTGACAATGGTACACGAAAAGTGAAAATATAACTGTAGCATGGATCAGTCTGGTTTTGGAAGAGAAAAGAAGAAAACCACATAAATCTGATGGAGATATAGGATGAAAAAGTTATGTAATCATGTCACTCCTTTTCAAATACACAGCAGTGATTTCTGAGAGGTTTTATTTTTCTATTCTTCTGCTTCTTGATTAATTTCCAGCAGGCTGCTAGTCAGAAGCTGTCTTTGGCAAATGTTCCCCCTTCTCTGATGATGTAGTAGGTGGTGGAATTAGTTCAAAAATCTGAGTTTTCTAAAAATAATAGACTACATATTGGAAAACAAACCCTCACTAAAGACATTGCATTAAAGAAAGACCCTAATTTATATTTATGAATTAATAAAAATGTAAATCTGCATAGATTTCCTTCATGTAAAAACATTTATATTATGCAAGCCATTTTTGACCTCTTATAAATCATCTTTTTTTTTTTTTTTTCAAATTAATAACATTTGCATTCTTAATATAAATAACAGGTAGAACAGTGAAGTTCAAACTTAGATCCATCCCAGGACAATCCAAACCTTTGCACATCTGATCTCCCCCACTATGTACAATTTCTTTTATTCAGAAGAATAAATCTTTAGAGGTCTTGCTTTAAGTTTCGTGATGCTCTGTCCCGTGTTCCTTTGAGGAAAATGGTTTAACTCTGCGAGAGATAAAACTGAGAAGCACGACACTGACTCCCTGGCCACCTGTATGGAACGTCATTCTAGACAAGCAAAACAACTGAATGAGACTAAGGGCCTATCTGCAGCCGTTGGTTTTCCTGGGTCTTATAGGATGTACCTACACTCTTCAGAACAGTGTTTGGAATATCCATATAGGCAATGAAAAGCCTACCAGAGGTTTATTTCTAACCTGTTGTTGTTAGTAGTTGGCATGATTACGATACATGATTCTCCTTAGAATTTTTTTTTTATAATCTTGTTAAATTTTTGGCTTAATAATATCTTGAGGAAAGATGTTTTACAGGTTATTTGTATATCATAGAGAAACAACTTTCCTCTTCTCAGTTTTTTATATAGCCAGGATTTTAGTGCAGTCCCCTTGCTTTGTTACTTGGAAGGTATTTATGATCTGGTCTGTTTAGTACACTGCAGTAGTATGTAATTATCGGGCATATCTTAATAGATTTTTGTAGGCATAGAAAAAATAATTCTTTGACTCACTGATGGCTTTTCTGCTTCTTTTATACACGCGATCTTATTTAGCAATAAAGACTTAATGAAACAAAAATTTGAAGGAAGCTTTATAGTACTAATTAGGCAGAAATGTTCCCCTCAGTGCTGTTTTGAAATTGGGTGCAAACTGTTTTTCTGGAAATATATAAACAAATAAAACTATCTCTGGTCAACACAGTTGTACAAAGAAATTTCAACCTCCATAGCTAAAGTTTGAAAGTCATCAGCAACTGGAAAGAATGTTGAAGAGAGAAGTGTTAGTTAAGAACTTGCTACTTTTCCATGCCAATGAATCTGATTCTCTCATTTCAATTAAATGGTTTTAATTCTTTAGTCTTCTCTTTCTTTCTGGGAGACTATTCCTTACTTTTGCCTCCAAGTAAGGAGGCACCACTGAAGGACTGGCAGGTTCAGTGCAGCATACCAACACCTTTGCTTTCTTATGTGATTGGTCACCTCCTGTGCCATAAAATTTGTTCATTAAGCCAACTGAGACTAATAAATCATGATTAGTCATTCCTTCTCCATTTCTTTTCCTGCTTCTCTGAAGTTATGCTTGGATACCACTACTGACTGAATTCAGCACTTTTTTCAACAGAGCAAAATCAGAAATTTTATTTAATCATATTTTGAAAAAGCCACTAATTAACAGCTAATGGACACCTAATTACTTCCATGCCCAAAATATGCAGACATTAGAACAAAAGTCTCAAGTACTAAGCTCAAGTTCCAATGCCTAAGAAAAATGACAATAAAAAAAGGAGGAAAAGTAGCCACCTTCCAGTGTAAGGCAGTTCCCACCAGTATGAAAGGGCTGAGACGGACTACTTTTGTGACAATGTTGTTGTTCCTTTTACAGGTCAAACATTAGTTCTGAAGGACTGTCTCATTCGTTATTCATAGGTATTATTTATGAATATTTATTATTTAAGTAATGCGTGTTGAAATTTTTCAATTTTTCATAAAGCGTACATCCTTTGTGCATGCCAAGAGAGCAGCAGACTTCAGAGAAGGTACAAGGCAACATCACACAGGTTATCTTATATAATGCAGAAGAGTATGTGATACCATTGTATACTATATATTCACAAACAATTTTGTTTCAATAAGGAAACTCTGGACATATTATTCATATCACCCATGTGTTACTGAGGACACAATAAATGAGAGAAGGATACTGAATTTAGTCAGCTTTCAAATCTTTCCTTTAAAATGAGTGCCAGTGTAATTTTCAGAATTTCTGAACAGTTTCACTGTAGTTCAAGGCAGATAGGATTTCTGGTTTGGACATTGCACAGTTAATTATGAATAGAGCCTGTAAAGGTAACTGGTTTTTCATAACATGCCCTATTTTCATGGAAGGAGAGGGGATGAATATAAGTGTAGAGTGTCTTCTGTTAGGAAAATATTCTTGAGTTCAATTACCTTTTTTTTTTTTTTTAAATAAATGAAGTTGACTGTCATAAAACCAGTCCTATCCCATCTAGTGTGGCAGCTGAGAAAGGGTCAAGGTGACCTCAAATGCCAATTTTGAGCACAACCCAATTTAAGGTAGACTGACAACTTCTTGTTTAAACCTACATTTACTGGTTTTATGCAAAATGTGATTAAAGTTGAAGCTCCCAAGTACTTTTTATTTCAGAAAACCATTATGTATTATGCTGTTTCAATCACCACAGGCTACTTTTTAATTTATTTTTTTTAACTGTCCCACTGTTTTCAACAGGCGCCAATTAAGATTCTGGGGTCAAAGGGTTAATTACATCTTCTTACCCACTATGTAGAATTTTCTGATTATTAACCAAGGTTGGATTAAGATGAAAAAGAACCGACACAAATGTTAATGCTTGCCCCTCCTCAAGAAGATTTATCATAATACCATGCTGAAATCTATATGCTCTCTTCAAAGCTGTTAAAGAATGAAATCTTGGAGGGAACACTAAAATAAATGCTTTAAAGACGTGCAAGTATCTGATTTATTGAGCCAGTTTTCTTATTTCTGAAAACTGTTCTAAACTAGCCAGACAGGACTGATACAAGTTTTCCTTTGTCACATACCAGCGAGTCAATATGGTAGATATGAAATGAGACTCAGATTTAAAAGTCACTAGCTGCAGCACCTCTGGATAATAATGTAAACAATTATAATTTATATCATCTGACATCAGAATAATAAAAAATGTAAAGTACAGGTTTTTAACCCAAAATACTAAGTGCCTTTTGCAGTATTTGAAGCATAGTGAGGTTATTTCTTCTCAGGATATAAAACCCACTGTACCACTTTGACCGAATATGCACTTATGTATAATGCATCATAGTAAATGGATTTATATTTGTCAGAGGAATTTTGTCCCAGCCATTTTTGCATATTCCCAATACAGGCAAATTTAATTCACTGGAGTCTTACTACAGTGTCCTTCTGGAGAATATCCTCATATTTCATACTATCCATGAAGTCCCTAATTCTTTCTAGTGTATTCCAGCGCTGCAAAACCCCCTGTTACCCTGACCTAAACTCCAGTTAGAGTGAAGAATTACCAGTAGGCTAGGTTATTTTAATGACAGATTATTTTAAACTAAGCCTTCACCATCTGTTCCACCCCCTAATTATGAATGCAAAAAGAACATATTTCACAATTACATCAGTAAAAAGTAAGATATACATGATTTAAATGCA